GGCCTGATTAGGGTCTTACGAGTACAATGTGGGGGCAAACCGATTGGCCAGAACCATTCTTCAGAGGGAATCCTGCGGACACGGACCCGTGGATTTCGCCCTTGGGTGCTGAGAAGGCTGGGATCTGTGCGAAAGAAGCCGATCACCGAGTCGGTGACTTTACTTGCAGATGTGGCGGCTGAGGCAGGGTTCATCGCCACGTTCTTCATTGTGCTTTCACGCTTTAGCCTTCTTGGTCTGGAGAATGCGCGGATGTCCAGTCCAAGCCTTTGGTTCATGGGAACACGAAGTCTTACATGTAGTCGCCGCGTTCTGTCAAACTTGTAATTGATTAGGGCTGGACTGTAAATCCGATTTGTCGCATCAGTCTAGCTTGTTGCCGCCATCATGCTGAATTTCGAATTTTCTGGCATGGGTTGGGCAACCTGCGATAACGCCACGATTGCCTTTGGCTGTGTTAGTGACCCCTTGCGCCTCCATGAACACTGCACATGGGTCAGAGTGTCTAACTATCTTCTAGATCATAGCCTATAGTGTGATTCGGACCGTCTACTTGGTTTGGTTTCACCCTTTGGCAAAGTATCCTGGACCCAAGATTGCTGCAGTTTCCAACGTCTGGTATGGATACCAATGGTAAGTTGACAAACTTCGACAAAGGGAATGCATCCCAGGAAACAGCCAAGACTGATTTTGCCGTCTTCAGGCTGTCCGGGCGCTATCCATGGGCGATGCAACGAGCCTTCAAAGAATATGGTAATCCGTAATCACTTGCTGGTGGGAAATCGACTTTCTGACATGAATAGGCGATGTTGTTAGAATTGCACCCAACGAGCTGGTCTTCATAACTCCCAAAGCTTACACAGGTATGTTTCCTGGGGACCCATCTTGATGCTGAGATTTTTAACGCAAAGATGGCAAGACATATACACCAGCAGCATCAATGGGCGGCCTGGCTTCGTGAAATCTGACATGCTCGACACCGGGGACAAGTACGAGGGCTTAGCTTCGGAAAGAGATATCGACAAGCACCGGGCTGCCCGCAAGCAACTGGCTCCTGCATTTAGTCCACGGTCTTTAAAGCAATATGAACCCATCATTCATGCCGACGTGGATGAGTTTGTCGAAGTGCTCAAGAGCTCACCTGCGACTGGAGCGGGGGTCGACATTGCTCCATGGTTTGAGAGAGCCACTTGTGATCTTGGTGGCTCGATCACACTTGGCCACAACTTCAAAAATATTCAATCTGGTAAGTAATACCCGGGCTTTTGTCTTTACGAACTTTTGCAACTCGATTGCGCTGGAATAGCGGCTGACATCATCACCGAACAGGCCAAAACCACCCTATCTTAGAGTCACTGTTGCGCATTGGTCACTGGGCTACGTTCCGCAACGTCATGCGCCGCTTCCCCTTGCTCTACCCATTGTCTTATGTCTTTCTGCCGCCAAAAGTGGCGTTCAGCTACTTCAGAGCTCACTCGACGAGTAAAAAGCTCATCAGAACTCGTGTCGAGCAGCGTCACGACCGCAAGGACCTGGACTACATGACCCAATTTCTGAAGAACGAGGAGGCGCTCCCGCCAGATGGTTTCCTCGTATCTCAAGCCGGCCATCTTATTCTCGATCATTACGAATCTTCGAGTGTTTTGACGGCGGGCATGTATTTCTTGACAACGAACGATGAAGTCATGAAAAAGCTACAGAATGAATTGAGGACGACTTTCAAGTCCTATGAAGATATCACAGAGGATAGGCTCCAGGATCTACCTTGGCTCAATGCGACCATTGAGGAAGTCATTCGACTTCACACCAACGTTCCCTACGGACTTCCTAGAATCAGTCCTGGTCATACCGTTGATGGGAACTACGTGGCTAAAGGGGTGAGTAATCCAGGCTACTCTCCAGCTACTGCTCACCACCACCTTTCCAATCTTTTTGTGGAGAAATCAAAACTAATCTCAGAATCAGGTCGTCGTTTCGTCCTGCGCATATGCTACAACTCACTCGGAGAAGTACTTCAGCAAGCCGTATGAGTTCAAGCCTCAGAGATGGCTTCCTAAAGACCATGCAGAGTATGACCATGTCTTTGATGGTGATGATCGAGCTGCCTTTAGGCCCTTTAGCGCCGGATCTCGCAATTGCCTTGGCCAAGCCATGGCCTACCTGGTGCTTCGCATCATGTTCGCAAAGCTTTGCTGGAAGTTCCAGTGGGAGCTCTTAAACAAGAATGAGATGGACTGGGATCGAGATCTGCGACTCTACATCGTATGGCAAAAGCCAAAGGTGCACGTTCGCATTACTCCTTTCGAACGAAAGGTGTGATCAGAGACACTGCTAAGTCGCCATGTACTAAGGTAATCTGAGTACTAGTTGAGCTTTAGCCTAAAATCAACAACTCCATGTTTCTAGATAAGCTACTTAGATTGGATGAGTTGTATCAGTTTCTCTTGAAAAATACTGGAATGGAAACCGATGAACGACGAAGGCGGTGATTTAGCGATAAAGGCTGCAGCTCCTTGTGATGTCCGGAACTTTCTCTTTTTCTAGTGAACTTGTGTGCGAGACAGACCTGCGCTTTTACTCATTCATGACAGCGTGATGGCTTCCATCAGAAGATCTGTGATCGTAACTAAAAATTTTGAAGCGACTATGATTTCTTAGTCCTCATATTTTAATTGGATGCCACCGCTCTTATCCTCTAGGTGTTAGAGCCTCTAATCCGATTGCTGGACTGTCTAATAGCTTGAAAAGTCTCCCTCGTTTGTCTCATCACGCCCCGAACAATTTCAGATGTCTCCAAGCGACCGAGAATCCCAGCCTCGCCCTCATTCGCGCCATCTCGTTGGTCCCAAATTCGAAACTCTGCAGGGAGACCCATCAGCCGCTCCACCGTATGCATCTGATACTCAAAGACTTGAGTCATCATCATGAGCTGTATGCTTGTGGGCTGCGCTAATAGCTGAGCCGGACCCGCGGCCGATGTTCCCGGTCCAGACCCTTCGCGCAAGCACCTGCTCATGCGGTTGAATACGATCTCGAACAGCTCACCGAGCTGGACATATGTTGATAGAAGCATCAATGTCAAAGAGAGTGCCGGTGGTGGTACCGGGGTCACGGACTCTAGAACAGTTGCGAACCGCATGGTTACATTAAGAACGCGATTCCAAATGTTGAGATCCCGGCCCCCTGGTGATTCCGCATCTTTCCCATGCTGAAATGCATCTTTTGTGAGATGCGGGTTCCAAGACTCCCATGGTTGATCCTTGAGTTCCGCCAATTGATGGGAAATGCTGCCAAGCAGGCCTACCACATGGACCCCCGTGTCGCCGGCGTTCGAGGTGCTAGGTGTGGCGATCCCGCTATGACCAGAGAGCTTGTCTTCAACATCCGTCATTGGCTCGTGAAGATCCCTGTTCAAGTGTTCGGCCATTTCGTTCAGATCTCCAAAGTCGAGATCGGGGACGCTCAAGTCGGAGAAGACGTGTGAGTGTGCTCTTGGAGAGGGGATGGTGGGCTCTTCGGACGGAGACATTGCAGCTGGGAAGTTTGATGCATCTAACCACATGGTCGAGGCAGTATTAACGTGATCCAGCACCCTATTGCTGGTGAAGAACTGTGAGGGGCCTGGATCTGGCGGTTGACTCTGTGTTGTCGTCGCAGGATCCGTACCCATTGTGACATGCACACCACGATGCGTCGAGGAACGACCATTCCGGGCACCGTACAGCGATCGACTATCCTCGACCTGGCCACGGTGGTTCGCATGTATTGGAGGCCGTCCCAATGGCCGACCGATGCTCGTGACACACATCGCACCTAGACGGAGACAGCGCTCGCAGGTGCCTCCATCCGGTTGGCTTCGGGGACATTTGAGCTTCTGCTCCCGGCATCGGTCGCAAGCGTATCTCTTTGCTGTCGGGTTGTTCATAGTACCGGGAGGCTGTTCCGATTGATCGTCCGTGCGATATGATCAGGGGGTTGTCGCTCCGCGTGTAAGTCTGTTTCGGTGTATTTGAAGTCATTCGGAGCGGAAGCCAAGACCTTCGGAGGCTCAAGGAATCTTTGAGTTATGTTTTTGAACAACTATCAGACGAACAAATGTGACATTCTACTGCGCAGGCACTGAATCCTACGCTTTCCCAATCCGACTAAACGTACGTTCTTCGTTTTTCAACCCACTTTCACGCTCTCTCGGTAGACTACTTGGGCGTCTAGGGCCCTCGCTCATGCAAGTCGAAACTTTGAAATTGTCTCAAATTTGACAGCTTAGAAAACTGGCCAAGACATGTCGCTAGAGGGAAGTAATTGGGGCATCGTACAGGTTCCTTGTGCACACGAAACCTGGTTGTAGGAATGTGTTATTCGTGGGGTTCCATCGACAACTGACTAGTGCTGCTAGGTTTCCCGCCACTCGCGTAGCATGTCCAATTACACCAAGACAATAACGGCTTATTATCCGTGAAAACCCCTCTCCTTCCAATCTGACCGACCAGAACTCCAGGCAACTACTTTGAATATGCAGTGAGGGCAGTCCTTGGCAACGGGTCGCATCTGAGGTGGGTTCTCTCAAGGCTCGGTTGCTTAGTCTTGGCGCTAATACCATCCAGCCGGCGAAGGAGTTCATTGCGGAAGTTCCCCCCCCCCCCCCCGCCGGAGCAGTCCTTTGCCTGGTAAGGTCCAGCAGCTGAGGCCCATGGCCAGATCTATCCATTCCTTGTCTTTTTCGTATGGCAAAGTGAAAAAATGGTTAGCGTCTCGGACAGACCCGTTCAGGATTGGTATGCGGGGAGTGGTACGGGCCGCGTATACTGGTTATGATGCCGTGCATCCACAGAGCCACAATTGAGTCTACCAGACTACCTCACTCGTGCATCATAGATTCGTAGTAAGCCCTCAGCCCCAAAAGGTAACCCATTTGATGCAGTCAGCAAACCCCCGGACACAGTCAGCGAAGTCTTGACCTGAAACGGATATACGGATAAGCAGTGGTTCGGCCACTTTACAAAAAGGCACCGAGAGGGCGTGTTTGAATCAGACGATGTCCCACCCGTGGAGGATTCTGAACCCCGGATGAACGTGGGGCTTGGCATCCTTCGATCCACACCTGGGATAGGGCTCGTTTTTCGGATCAATCTGGAAACCAAGGAACCTTCAAAATGCTACGTATGCATCCACATATCCATGCACGCGTCACGGTTAGATCCGACTACTGTCGGGCCTAAAGACTCTCCAGCGGCACAAAGCCACGAGCCTCCTGTGCCTAGGGAAGAGTCGTTGCCCTTGATACTAGCAAAATGCTTCGCGAAATCTTGTACGCCTTCACTGGATTAGCCCTATTGGCTTATGCCGCGGATTTCTTCTACAACGCTGGAGACGATCCAAATGAGCCGGTCCGGATACGTTCGAGATTCCCCCTTATCGGACATGTCCTGGGACTGATGAATCAAGGGCCAACCTACTACAGAAAGACGAGGTGCGTTGATTCACTTGGAGTTGCGATAAAAATATCAAGGGCACTTGATAACTAAGTAAATATCCGGCAGTAATTCAACCGAAGCTGAGATCTACACACTGGGATGTTTCAACTTCAAGGTCTACATCAGCGCTTCCAGCCGGCTTCTGCCATTCATCCAGAAGCAATCAAGGGCTCTGTCTTTCCGACCTTTCCTCCAGCTCGTTGCGCGAAAGTATGGCGATGCTTCTGCTGCGACCTACGAGATCTTTGGAGGCAGTCTCCCCGATGACTTGAGCCAGTCAGTGAAAATGAGCTTGGCCCCAGGCCGCCATCTTGACGAACTGAGCCTCCGAATGGGCAAGAGAGTCTTAATAGACATCAATGACTTGCTTGCAGCCAAGACAGAAGTGCCATTGTTGTCTTGGGCCAGACATGCTGTTGTGCAAGCAACAAGTTGTGCTGTCTATGGCGAGAAGCACCCTTTTCTCGACCAGGAAATCGAGAACTCTTACTGGTACTTCCTACCTTCTCTGATAGTCTCAAATACAATATCGATGCTGACTGTATGTTTAAGGAAATGGATGACATATCTCACCGCCCACTTGGTTGGCTGGCTTGATGTGACGAAGAAGGGTTACGCGGCAAGAGAAAAGGTGTTTCAGTCATACATCAGGTACTGCAAAAAGCTTCCCCAGGAGAGTTCTCATCTTATGAAAGAGCATCAACGTGTTCTGGGAGAGGCTGGGGTATCTAGTACGGACAAGGCTAAGCAAGCCGCCATCTTCACTATTGCCTCGTTCAGTAACTCAGCGCCGACTCTGTATTGGACCTTGTGGGAACTCTTCTCACGCCAAGAAATTCTCGACGAGGTCAGAGAAGAGCTCACAAGATACGCAGTTGTCAAGTCGGAAGACGGAGAATTCTTACTTGACGTCGCCGCACTCAAGTCTCAGTGCCCCCTCCTCCTCTCGGTGTTCCAAGAAACTCAGAGAACCCGCCACGTCAATCCCAGTTTCCGCAAAGTCTTAACAGACACGCTTTTGGACGACAAATACCTCTTGAAAGAGGGTAATTACCTTCAAGTACCCGGAAATGTCATTCACAATGAAACTGGCATTTGGGGCCCGACAGCTTTGCAATTCGACCCCTATCGCTTCATACCCAAGAAGGGAGGCGAGCGAGATGTTTCGACTGCCAGCGGCTTTGTCCCGTGGGGTGCTGCGCCGTATCTATGTCCGGCGAGACAGTTTGCCGCCACCGAGATTCTGATTATAGCTGCGCTGCTTGCCATGAGGTCCGATATATCACCTGTGAAAGGACTTTGGGACAAGAATCCAGCTGTAAATCATGCCGATCTTGCTACCCTTTCGCCACCTACAAAGGATGTCGGCATGCGTGTAAGGGTTCGAGAAGAGTGGGCTGGCAAGTGGACAGTACAGATGGGTGAGAGTCGAAGCCGCGTGCCTCTCGCCTCCGGGTAGCTTTAATACTCCTTTCGGAGGCTAAGATAGTTCTCTGGAACAATACAAAGGTACTACGACTGTGTTGCCCAATGGTGATTAAATTTTCGAGTACGCGAGACTCACGTTCTTTCCTTGGCGACATATGACGACTTCTTGATATTCCATCAATTTTCAATCGAATATTGGCATCGTTTAGGAAAATGGCAGGTGAAAGAACGCAAAGACTCTGCTGGCTGTGGATGAGTTGCTACGCGCCTCTTTTGGATCTACTTTATCAGATGAAACATTTCTGTTGCATCAAAAAGATCAAATTTATTGCACTCTGTCATTTAATTCTGGACTTGCAGGATAATGACTGGATTCATGTCTCAAACTCTAGGTCAACTATCATCACTCATTCCTGCAGATGCCTCACAATACTTGAGTAAACAAGACCCAGTTGGATCCAATTTCCACGGGCACAGTACATGCAGCGGCCCGTATCTAGCTACAAAACTCTAGTTGCCTTTGTTCTTCTTGATAAACTCACACATGCAAGGGTGGGCCATCTTCAAGTTCAACTCAATGCGGATCTGCTGCTCGGGCTGACCGGCGGGAATCCGAATCTCTTGATACTCCTGGCAAATTCTTGCCAGAATGTACTCCATCTGCTGCTGTCCAAACTTTTGGCCTAAACAGTGACGAGGACCACTTTGCATCGTCCAGATTAGCTTAACTGTCTCCTGAGAAGTCCCGTCTGAAGGGGTTTGAAGACTTACTGATTGTACGGAATAAAGTGCCAGCGGTTGATGTTGGCTCCCTCCCAACGCTCGGGTCGGAATTCGAGAGCATCCTCACCGTAGATATCTTTGCGGCGTTGAAGACCACCGAGAGAGTATACTGCAATGGTACCTAGGTGAGCGACTTCATCTACAGAGCGTTGTTGACGTAGTGCTACTTACTGATAGTTGTGTCCTTGGGAACTGCGACAGGGTCTCTTCCACTCTTTCCTCCGCCAATAGGCAATGTGGCATCCTTGAGGGCCATCCGAACGTTCATGCCAACTTACCATGGTCAGTCATCGAACACTCAATGGACTACTCAAGTACTACTTACGAGGGTGATACAATCTGAAAGTCTCGTTGATGACATGTCGGATGTAAGTCATCTCTTTGAGATCAGATGCAGAAGGTGGCTTGTCGCCAGATCTGAGAAGAGGAATTAGTTTCTCCCGCAGTTGATCTGGTACAGACTGATGTGCTTACACTTGCGCAACCTCGGCTTGCATCTTCTTCATGACGTTTGGGTATTTGCCCATGAGGAAGATAGCCCAGGCGATAAGAATTGCTGAGGGGTCCTGAAATAATCAGTCAGAACTCAGGGGCTTCACAATGTCCAACTGAATTGATATACCTTTCCACCAAGCATGATGGTCATCATGGAGTCTTTTATATCCTGCAACATCCGTGAGAATGATTCATTTCGCTCCTTAGTGATGCTTACTTACCTTAACACTCTTCTTCTGGCTTACAAGATCGTCCAACATGTTGTAATCTTCAGGCGACTTCTTTGACAAGTCTCTCGCATACGCGCGATCGACAATGCCCGAGGTGTAGCCGTTTAATTCCTTCAAAGCCTTGGGGGCCAGGTACTTGTCCTTGACATAGTAAGCATTCTTTCCGAATAACATGCGCGCTGTGTTGATGGGGTGGAGAGTCTCCATGGGATCTCTGAAAGGATGGTGTCCAGTGAGGGAATTAGCAGACTCTCCAAAGAACACCTCCGAGACTACATCGAGCTGATAACGGTCGGCGACATCGTAGACTTCAATGGGCTTGCCGACGTCAAATCGCTTGAAGAGTTGTTGAGCATGCTTCTCGGTGATCTCAAGATCGTCCGAGCGCATCTTCATAACCTGAAGAGTTGAAATCGTTAAGAACAGAATCATGATGTGGCAAAATGCGACTAAGGGATTGCACTTACATGCCCCTTGATGCGCTCTTTGCTGTTGTGCCAGTCTTCTCCGTCCACTAGAACCCAACATCAGTATACCAAGTTCACAAGGTTTGATGAGTTTTAGCAACTTACCAACGAAGATCTGTGTCTCTCCGAGCATATCTCCCCAGATACGTTTGGTGACTTCGCCTCTTCCGAAGCTGGACCACTATTCCACGTTCAATGTTGTTAGTTGTCGTGCACCCAAAAACCCCCCATCACTGGAGTTCCGGCCTAGATAAATCGCCAAGCCTACCTCTGTAGACATGATCGCCTTGATGTTAGCGGGCTCATCAGTGAAGATGAGGCCTGTGCCGAACATGCGCATCTCGACAGTACGGCCAGGCACGGCCTCAAGCCAGCTGTTGACAAGCTCGAAGAAGGTGAACTTGAAGAATCTGTACAAGGAGTACACAGCCAAGTCGATCCCTGTGCATCAAGTTGTGAGATTTGAGCGAATTCTCTGTAGGTGCGAGTACATACCAAACGGGGCCTTGAAGGGAACCAAGGGAGGCGGGGAGCCAAAATCGCGAAGCCTCTTGTCGCGACGCGACTTCGCCCCCCAGTCGAAGACGTAGATGCTTACGATGAGCAGAGAAGAGTAAGCCGCCCAGTTCCAGCTCTTTGTCATTTCCTGCGTCAACTTGGAGGATGCAAGCGAGTTCAGGTTGGACTTGATGGCATCTGGGATGTACGGGCTGATGACGCTGACGACATTGCCGGCAAAATCAGTCAAGTTGCTCGCTAAAGTCGTAGGCAACCCCGCCGAGGGAACTGAAGAGGCCATGTTTGCTTGAGTTTCCAGGCTTTCCTCTGTCGTAACAACGGAAAGGTCTTGGAAATGGCAACATGAACAGCGCTGATTCAGATTCTGCCCGTTGGATGAGATATATCAACTCGACTCCTGAAAGAAGTTCGGTTATGTCGTCAAGTGGCTTTGTGGGATGTGGGGGGCGGCGCGCAGCGAGTGAATAACGTCGCAAATGGAATGACTTCGAATCCCGGACGCGACCGAGATCATTTGAGCCCAGAACGGGATGGTCTGAGAATCCTTCATGACACTTAATGCAGGGCTCTCGCCTGATGTGGACCGTCGTCTCACTTTCACGGGCTTCCCGCCGTAGGGTTCCAGAAACTTCAGCCCGCTTACCGGATAGAAATGGCCGAGTTTAGGGCAGCAGGAGGGGTGGGGTTTGACATCCTCCTCGGATCGTTCTACAAGCGGACTCGGACCCGACTTCGGGAACTTGTAAGCGCTGGGGCCGTCCCCATCCGCCGGACTCACATCGGTTCGGAGTCCGGAGTCGGAGGGTTATTCGGAGGCTTACCTACTTGTATCCGAACAGGGGATGATATGCAGACCCAATCCTTCGGAAAACTGACGCATCATCTTTGGAGTTATCTGGAAGCCTGTCGAGGACCCTGCATAGAAGGGCTGAGTTCAAGATAGCATGGTTCACGCGCAAGACCGTCGCATTAAAAGAGGGCAGCATGTGTACAGTGGTTTTTGATGCCAGTAGGTGGTAAACTTCAACAACATACTCGCAAAAATGGCCAAAGGAACGACAATCACAGCTCTTGTCCAATCTCCCAATGGCGGAGGCCCGCCGCTGGTCTCGCGAGACCGGCCCATGCCGCAAATCAGAGAGCCCCACGATGTCATCGTCAAGGTTTCTGCCGTTGCGCTGAACCCGACTGACTACAAGATGCCAGACTACCATCCCGTACCAAATGCCATTATGGGCTGTGACTTCATGGGCACCATTGTCGCAGCGGGCCCTGAAGTCGACAGCACATGCGTCGGGATGCGAGTCTGTGGTCCCATGCACGGCTCAAATCCCGGCAACCCAGACTCTGGAGCGTTCGCTGAGTACCTCATTCAAGACAGACGTCTTCTTGTGCGGGTACCAGACTCATGGAGTGACCTCGAGGGAGCCGCGCTTGGAGGAGTAGGATGGGCGACTGTGGCACTAGCCATGGAGGACTCGCTCCTCTTGACGGGCACTCCATCAAAACCTGCTCCATTGAGGTCTGATGGAACTCGGGTGCCTGTTCTGGTATATGGCGGCGCTACAGCCACCGGCACTATGGCTTGCCAATTGCTATCAAGGTACGTGCGATTGTAATCATTAAGGCATGGAGAACAATCCGAGCAAGTAGACTAATCTTAGGCGCAGTGCTGGATATGATCCCATCGCAACCTGCTCCCCTGCATCCTCGGCTCTTGTCAAGAAGTACGGAGCAGCCTCTACAACACCATACTCCTCGCCAACATGCGGAGAGACAATCCGCGATGCGACAAAGGGTTCCATCCGAGCAGCCATCGACTGCATTACCACACCAGAGTCAGTGAAATGCTGTTTCACAGCTTTGGGTCGCGCTGGCGCGAGGTATGCATCTCTCGAACATGCTCCCGATGAGTGGAGGACGAGAAAAGCAGTCAAGATGGACATGCCAATGACATATGTGGTCATGGGTCGCGAGGTGAAGCTTGACGGGGTGTACCACCGCGATGCGGACCAGTCCAAATTTGACCTGGGAGCCAGGTGGGCGCTTGAGGTCCAGACTTTGGTGGATGAGGGACGTCTGAAATGCCATCCGGCACGTGAAGTGCCTGGTGGTTGGCAAGGGGTGATTCATGGTCTTGAGATGTTGAAATCAGGCCAAGTCAGGGGGCAGAAGCTGGTAGTGAAGGTGGGAAGTGCTTAAGAGCAACATCATTGATAAAGTAGTTGTATGGAAAATACATGTAGTAAACACAACAACCGAAGTAGACCAGCCCAATGCCCAGATTTCATTTTCCAAAGTAGAGTTACTTTTGCAAATGCACCTCTGATTATAGCTCGATATGAACGGTTCGCTGTCTTTACCACTAGAACTGAGCTGCACAAGGTCTTACATCCGCTTTACTGAAGTGATTCAGTTCTTCAGGAAGCTTTGGTATAGGAGCAGACTTCGCAAGACCATACATAAAGTAGAGGCTGTCCTCGCCACATCATCTGATACGATATCTGGGAGCGCCTTTATTGACAAAACCACAACCCGTCGCTCTTCGTGACGCATATCGGGACTCAGCCTTCCCAGTGGTCTAGTTTCCAGTTATTTATAGGCCTTGTCCGGATGGGGCGCCAAGACCTGTCAGCTTCGGCTCAATTCCTTCAGCCCTATTCGGTGCCTTTCTTGTTCGGTCATGTACATTCGGTGCATTCCCCACCAATACTATGTGACGCCAACTGAAAACCGCTGACCGTTTGGTTGATGGCACCTCTAGAGCTGCCTAAGTCAGGCTTGGTCGTATCATATAATCTAATGCATCATGTTCACATTTCTGTCCCCTGCAGTCCCTATGTTGGACAGGAGGAGCATCGTCATCTAATAGCCAGGGCCCCAGGAAACTCTCAACTTTTCTTCTCTTCACTATTTTCAACTCATACTTCCGAACAACTCAAATTCATATCATCCACGAGAATGGCAACAGGAACGGCCGAGGCCATCGGGCCGGCTTCCACAAACGGCGCATCGGAGAAACTCGCTCAGCCCGCGCCGGCTTCCGGTGTGAACTTTCCGTGGAGCAACAAAGATGGCATTTGGCATCGTCAATTGGGCTCTATGGAGTCTTTTTACCAGAGTTTGGCGTCTCCCGAAGGCTATCCAGTCCACTGGATGATCGGCTGCAGCGTGACACTTCAGAATCAAGACGAGAGCATTGATCAGGAAAGCTCCCTCCAGAGAGCTTGGAAAACTGTAGCACGGGACTTCCCTTGCGCTGGCGCTGTTGTGGATCCAGCTTCGCGGGAGATTGTGGTTCACGAAGGCGTCGTTACAGACGAATGGCTACAGAAGAGCTTCCGAGTTCACGATGGAACGACCGCCGATGAACTCTTCTCTGCGTTCAAGAGCCAGTTTCATATCACGCTCCATTACATTCGGGACACCCACCAACTTCTACTCCAGTCACCTCACACTCTCATTGACGGGCGAGGAATGTTGTACTTGTATCACGCCCTGTTCACGACACTGGCAGCTCTACCAGATGAGAACTCTCAGACGCAACACGAGACATCTGGAGCACCAAATCTTTCTAAACCGTACGATGACTGGTTGGGAGTCTCGGCTACCCCATCAGAGAAGAACTTTGCCGATGCGCAGTCCATCTTCCAGCGTGTTTTGCAACAAGAGAAACCTATTCGACTACCTGGAGTTGACTTGACAACTACCCCGCAAAGACCAGTCCACAAAGATCTCGAGGTAGACGAGAAGACATCCTCCACAATCATCAGTGCGTGCAAGGAAAAGGGAGTCAGTGTTACTTCAGCTTGGCATGCTGCGCTAGCTTTGACGACGCAGGTAAGTTCGTGTTTGCTGCTTACTACTCTTTGATAGTTGATCTATACTAAACAGTCATGCTTGCAGAAACTCCAGTCGGATGCTGGTGAAGACGGTTCATCCTACGTTCAGTTCACCACCATTGACCTGCGTCGCCATTTCCCCTCCTCTTTCGCCCCACACAAGCACTCAATCGGATCGCTTCAAACCGCCTTGCCTCTCGCAGCGGACCTCAGCAAGGACAGCACTTTTGATGCTCTCAGCAAGTCCCTACACCAGCAGTACAAGGCGCCTTTCGCATTTGCCGACAACGATTTTGGGTACTTGACCCCTTACATGGCCATGTCTCGGCAGATTCTCGAAAGCGGCGGCGTGCCCCCGAGCAGTACGCCGTCGCTGTCCAGCATGGGAGTTGTTGACGATTATCTCCAACGCCAGTATGGAACTTGGGAGATCTCCAACTTTTGGGTGAGCTCCACGATGATGACTGGTGATTTCCAGATGTATCTGTGGACTTTCCGGGGGAAGCTCACCTTTAGTGTGTGCTACAATGAGGCGTTTTATAGCGCGGAGAAGGTCGATCGTGTCCTTAAAACTACAAGGGATGAACTACTTCGTGGGTTGACTCAGCTGTAAATCGCTAGGAGATGCGCCCAGAGCGGGCGCTAGAGTAAAGCCTAGGGCCGCTCATTCCGCCCGAGCTAGGCCCTGTAGCCCCTAAAATAACCCCTGAAGGGGATTTTATTACGATGTCGATGTTAGTTAACGACCTCTTGTATACAGCGGTAATGTTGGCTTGCGTGCCAGCGGTAAGTTGACGATGTTCGGATGCTATTGTTTTCCTTATCTAGATGTGTTACTCGTGTGTTAAAACCACATGGATGCACCAAATTTGGGATTTTGCAGAGGGGTTCTTCAGTCTTTTTGTATTTCGCTACTAGGTCATTCAAAGGAGGGTATTGCCACAGTTTGCAATTTGGGCATTCTATATATCCTTACTTGTTGCAATCATAACCAAAGCTATCCTGTCCTTGGAACTTCATCATTCGTCGCAAGTTAATACTCAAGAAAAAAACGAGGCCGCAACTCAACAAACGCTAGCTCAAATCGAGATCCATCACCAATCAAACATAATCTGCTCTACTTCCGAGGATTTCTCCGTCGAATCCAGAGTAGGCAATGGCTCAATGTCGATAAACACAGAGACCTCCTCTCCAGGGAGCGATTCTGCAATGCGATGCCGAATGAAGTCTGCAAGATGTCGTTTCAGAGCATCGAACTCCTCTTCTCTTCCACAGGGAATTATCTGATCCGCAAGAGTATCTCGAGCCTCCAGCCGAACAAGGAGGTACTTGAGCTCGGATCGCTCAAACCGCAAGGGAAGCTCATCTTCTAGTTCGGCCAGCGTTTTGGTCCGGAAGCTTCCTCTGGGCTTCCAGATACAGCTCCGGCGAGTCGGGTAACGGGTGATTATGCGATACACAAACTTGACTCGCGCTTGACGCGACGGTGCGGTCTGAGGTGAGTCGTTACTTTCGATTGGCTCTGCAGCCATTGTCTGTGAGCGTCTCATGTTCGCTAAGAAAGAGACTGTCTTCTTGCGTTCCACAGCAGGGCTCGCTTGACGTGAAGTGTCAGCAGGCTCAGAGGTTTCGGTGCTGGTGACAACCTCATCTTGCTGAAGTGAATGTATCTCAGTTTCGGCAGTCAGTCGAGTAACCATCTCATCAGCGAAGGCATCAACAGAAGTTTCTCTGTCTGTGACATTCTCCGCACTGTTCTCATGGATGTGGAGACTCGATTCTTCTTGAAGACCTGTGAAAGAGCCGCCGGGAACTTCTAGGTGGGTTTTAGATGACATGGCATCGGCGACCATCTCCGGGGGAGAGTCTTTATCCATGTCCTGCAAAGCTTCAGTCAGTCGCTCGCCTGTTACGAGCCCATCGCGTTGAGGCGCATTGCGCTTGCGCGGCGAAGTCCGACTTGCTTGCGGGTCGACCGAATCGTCTTCTCGCTTCTTCTTCGAAGTCTGATGGAGAGACTGCAGAGTGTCGACTCTCGGACGCTTAGGAGGAGGCTCGGAAGGGTTCATTTCAGCATACGGCGCGAGTTGGCGATCTCCCGTGGGGCCAGTTGGGGACATGACGGCGAAGGAATCCTGTTATTATTGAAGTACCTCCTATTAGAATCCCACAACGTGACAATCCTGCATGACGAATTTGGCTTACGGAAGTGTTCTTGACTCCTTGGTCATGACCTTCGGGTTCGTGCTGGAAGTCTGTGCCAACCGCCGTTTGCAAGTGTAATAGTCCTTGAATTTCTTCCGAGGTAGAATCGATTTCGTATGGGTCGACAATCTTCGGAGGAGCAGCTGCGTTATCTGTCTTGGACGAGCTACGGCGTTAAATGTAAGGAGAAGTCTCTTAGTACGTGCGGGATGCCGATCACTCACCTTGAGGTGGTAAGCATTTCAACCGCACCAGAGCTCCCGAGTGACTCCTCAATCTCATCTACATCGATGGGGTCCTCGTGACGACCTCTCCCATCAAGTGTGCGTATGTGGACGTTGCCCGTCTTCCTTTTGTTCTTTCTGGATTTGCCATTGCGGTGCTGCTGCAGGTTCATTCTCCAAAAGAGCTGCTTCAGGGTTCGCTTGATACTATGAGACCATGAACTTGTCAGCCAAATGCCTTTCTTAAAGATACAGGATTGTCGTTCTTACTTACTTCGCACCATGGCGGGAATATTTGAGCTGCTTAGCACTGCCTTGGGCATTTTCGTCCGGCCAAAGTCGAGCTCCGTTGCCGTCACGGTCGAGGAATGCTTGGACCATCTCTTCAAGAGCACTTTGATGCTCTGAAGACTTCCATTCGTACATCGCACTGCCCTCATAGCCTTGTCTGGTTACAAAGGTCTTGCGGAAAGCCCGGACGGTGTGTTGGAATGACATTGACTGGTCTTTCGCCACGTCAGAGTCGCCATATCCGAGCTGCCGCCGCAGAGCAGAGATGGATGGAATGGATGTCGGATTGATGGATGACGACGACATGGTTACCAAGTGACTACCTCACTTAGTAATGGCAAGCAAAAAGCCCAGGTAGAAAGTCGTTCCAACATAAGATACCGAATATGAGCTGAGAGCATGGGTCGATTCAGTAAGACCACATGTTCCGGCAGCTGCAGCGCTGCTTTCTCTCTTGACGGAATGGAGGGGGGGACTGCCCCCCGTTATATACTTCTCAAGGCGACATGGGTGTGGGGCTTGTTGTTGTTGTTGTTGTTGTTGTTGTATTTAACGCCGTGGCGGCCGGGCTAGAGCCCTTACCGCAGACCTCCCGAAGGGTATATGGCGTGGAGGGCCGTGAGCCAAGGCTACCTACTCTACAGTACGTCGTCTCTTTACATCGTCCTCCAAATCATGCCTTGTGGCCACTACGCGTTCTGTCTGTCCCCGGTTCCCGCTGGTGCCCCAGTTTCATTCTTTCCCAAATCGTCCCTTGGAATCGGGAGGTTCTTTGTAGTCCGCACTCACATCTACCTAGGTGTGGATGCTGCTACCGCAGACAGATCTTCTGGAAGAAGTCCGTCACGCGGAGAAAGGCCTCGAAGCCTCGTGGGTCGGTGATTAATCTCTTGAAGTAGGCCTCGAGAGATCCCATAGGACCTATGGGCTCGGGCATACTGCGAGAGTGGAGGGTCGGCCACCGTTGCCTCCTCGCCAGCGTTAGTCGACA